AAATGCGGCAACAGAAGCGAAGGGATGGAAAAGGCAGTACAATTTTGAACAATTCTTAAAGGACAGTCATATTAAAAATAAAGTTCCGCCCAAATGATACAAGAGCCCTCGAACTCAACGCCGCCTACCGCTAACCTGAGAGAGCAGTAGTGACTTGGGCGTGGCTTTTATTATCCTCCGGTTGGTCAATCGCACTCGGTGCCAGCGAGGAGGAACTAAGGGCTTATGTGTGAAGTAAATTGGAGTGAGGGCGACTGGTGCAGCACCTGCTTCATTCGTTCCTCTCACAAATGGCATTTTCCAACGGCGAAGCGAGACCAGAAGGGCTGTAGACGGGTGTGGACGTTGTGATTGGTAATGTGTGTGTGCCCTCTAAACGGGTCGTGTATTAGATGCGCTGGGCCAACACAAGGGCCACATCAGAACATGGTAAGCGCAATTCGGGCTGAACTCCCATAACAAATACCGAATATGGAGGTGAGGGGAGCGTCGGTGGCAGGCTCAAGCACCAACCCCCCGTGCCCTTCATGGCACTCCCAACCCAGAGGATTGGAGTCTGGCATGGCAGTTCCGGCCACCTGCGCCTGATAAAACCTCCGGTATTCGTGACTCTCTCTTGATACCGACCTCAGCCGAGTGAGGGAAGAGGGTGCGGTAAAAAGTTTCCTATCATTTTAAGCGAATCCGTGTGTAAGTCGTTGTTCGTATCCCATCCTGCTGCGAGGCACATGGTTAACATTTTCGGAATCGTGATAATACGTAGAACATGCGTGTACCATACTTGACGCAAACTGCACTTCAGTAGCTCGTATAGCTCATCAATAGCAAACAAGGTAGATGTCAGATTAGGGAGTTCTTGCAGCCTTAACTTCCGCCTAGCGAACCGGATTATCCCATCAGGCGCGCCATTCCGACTCATTGTTATTGAAGGCTGACATGTTAATGCAAGGCTGGCCGCAGATGAGATAGGACACATGAGGTCTGCATTCAGCGTATGTCCAGCCAGGCTGTGCGGTTTTAGTCGTAGAACCAGATTTGGATAGGTGTGTAGAAGAATGCGCAGCATCAAGCTCGCCTTCTTTGCACCCACTCACCGCGTTCCAATGTCGAAACTAGGTCAAAGTGCATGAGATTGAGAACTCCTTTGCTCCCATCTCTCATTTATTTTCAATAAATTTTTCAGTGAGGTGAATTGAACCAGTGCAAAAATACTAAGATGCACAAGTATTAGGAGTTTAAAAACTGTCTATTACAGCTGCATCACCCCCAATTATCCTGAAGCTGCTATGCGAGGAATATTTGACGTGTATAATGATTATTTAATACGCCCGTAGGCCTCACTGAGCTGGAGATGGGTAGGCCTGGAAAACTGCGTTCACTTAGTTCAGACGAAGTTGGGAATTAACGGTTAATAGAAAAGAGGAGCGCATCAGCTGCTTTTGAGACGCCGTGGGATCATGACCCCTGCCGCACTGAGAGAATAAGGTTGGTTTGCCTGTTCATGCAATCATGGCCAATAGCTACCTTACTCCTTATCTTCCCAATCCCATTGAGTCCCATTTGAGAAAAAAAATAGATCGAAACATGGGATTTGAGGCGGGTGACTGGGCTGTTTTCTTCCAGTCTAAACGGCAAGCGGGACGTGACAATTGCAGCACAAGCAGTTTCAATTGAGTCACATACAAGTACTGGTCATAGATGAAGTTGGAATCGACAACCACTTCATACAACGAAGATTCGGGTATGCTTATGACTCCCTCAGAGTGGCTATTCCATCTATGGAAATATATGCCATACATTGGAGTTGAGGTAACACCACCTGATGACGCTTGATGAGGCAGAAATGGCCATTGTGGTTGTCCTCTGTTGTTTGTCGGTAATACATTAGTTATATTTACCCTTTTTGGGTCGACTAGTAGACCACATTCCTTATACAGTGGAGCCTCGGGTGACGAGCAGTTCCATCTACGAGCATTTCAGGTAACGAGCGAACCACTTGCAGAATTTTTTTTCAGTTGGCGAACTTCCGCTCAGTTAACGAGTTGTCAGTGCATGTGTGTGCCTGTGTCCGTCCGTCTTGCACTCAGCGTGGATCCTCAGTCGCCTGCAGCTAATTATTGACTAACTACGTTTCGCAAGACGAACATTTCAAATAACGAGCTCGGCGCCGGAACGGATTAAACTCGTTAACCGAGGTCCCATTATAGTGATATTGATGCATCAGCCGAA